GGGGGAATGGGGGGGCATGGGGGGTTACGTAGGAAAAAAAATTATAGAAAATTGAAAATAAAAAAAAATGAGGGGGAGGCAAGGTGGATGGTGACGGAAAGAAAAAAACTGAAATCTGGAAAAAAAATCCTTCTTTGAAGAGGGGGTGGGAGAGATGGGGGAGGGGGTTGGGGTTAGATATGAGGATATGTGGAGTTTTTGAAAAATGTTTCCTAACTTTTTCTATGGAAGTCATTGACTGCTGTGGTACAATTTGCCAAATATACCGATTTCCCCTAAGATCAAACAAAAAAATTTCTAGCAAGACAGAAGTACAGAATCCTCCCACTATTCTTGTTTTCTTTTACAGTCAAGGGAAGATTCCAATTCGAGTTCTCCCTGAAGCCGCCATTATCACCATTTTCATTGAAATTTCACTTTCTTCGAACCCGATAACCTAATTTTGCGCACTTCTTTAATATTTTTTCCCCTGATTGCATCGATAAGAGTTTCCTGAAGGTCAGTGTACATCCAATCAAAGTAAACAAGCCCAAGTCTTGAATTGTAGTAACAGTTTCTTCTATTTGGTGAAGGAGAGAAGTTCTCAGCTATAGGGGGTTTTTTCACAGCCAACCATATTTCCGTTAACTTCAAGGGCTGCAATCCTCTCTTGTCTTGATATTTCAGTAGTTTGATATTTTAGCGTAATTGTATCTCCTTTCCTGCCTATTTTGTTCTTGAATCTTTAGTTAGTATTTGCGCTAGCATTGTCAAATTAATTGCATTAATGATAGCTTTGCCTATTTGTTTATATTGTTATCTACCTGTTTACATCTTTATTTTGAATCTTTATTGCACATTTTCTTTGTGACTTTTTTAGTTGTAAATTATAGCCCCTTTAGCTCTTGTATTGTATTTCTTCACCTATTTTTATATCTTTTAGTTGTAGATTATAGTTCCTTTAGTTCCTTTGTTTTATTTCTTCACCTGTTTGTCTAGTCATTAGTTATAGATTATATTTTCCGTTAGTTCCTTTATTTTGTTTCTTCGCCTATTTTGCGATCTTTAGTGGTAGATTACATTTCAGTAATTCATTTTATTTTTCTCTCTTGTTTTCGGTATAGTGATTGTGTAGTAACTCGTAGATTATAGTGGCTTTAGTAAACGATGGTATGGTAAGGTCTTGTCCTCGGGGATGTCAGCGCGGGGGAGGGGGTGCGGGGGTAAGAGGGCTAAGGGAGCTACTAGGCTGAGAGTGGAGTCTTGGAACATAGGAACTTTGACTAGAAAATCTGTAGAGTTAGCAAAGATTCTCAAGAAAAGGAAGGTTAATGTAGCTTATGTACAGGAGACTAGGTGGGTAGGAGATAAGGCGCGGGATGTGGATAGTTTCAAACTTTGGTATTCTAGGAGGGTGGGACAGGAACGGGGCAGGTATCTTGGTTGATAAAGACCTCCGTGAACTAGTGGTGGAGGTTAGGAGGGTGAATGACAGACTGATGACTATTAAGCTAGTTGTTGGAGGTGTTACTTTGAACAAAATCAGTGTGTACGCACCTCAAGCAGGCTTGGATAAGGAAGTCAAGAGGCGTTTCTGGGAGGATTTGGATGAGATGGTGTGTGTTATCCCTCATATCGAGAAGCTTTTCATAGGAGCAGATTTCAACGGTCATATTGGAGCGACGTCTGAGGGATATGATGATGTGGATGGTGGCTTTGGTTTTGGAGATAGAAACGGAAGAGGAATGTCTTTGTTGGACTTTGCTAGAGCATTTGATTTGGTGATAGCAAACTCGAGTTTCCCAAAGTAGGGGGAGCACTTGGTCACCTTCCAGAGTTTGGTGGCCAATACTTAAATCGATTATTTACTTTGCAGGAAGTCCGATAGAGGTCTTTGCACGGATTGCAAGGTCATCTTGAGTGAGAATCTCTCGACCCTTCTTAGGCTCCTGGTCATGGGCCTTGAGATCACGAGGAAGAGAAGGAAGAGGGCGATGTATAGCCAACATAGGATTAAGTGGGAAGCCTTGATGGAAGCTAAAGCGCAGGAGTTGAGGGTCAAGCTGGTGACTATGGGGTCTTGGATGAGTAGTGGGGACGCAAGCGCTATGTGGACCATGACTGCATTGTGCATTAGGGAAGCCGCAAGAGAGGTATTAGGGGTCTCAAAGGGTTACTCTGGTGGTCACAAGGGAGACTGGTGGTGGAATGGAGAGGTGTAAGGAAAAGTGAAAACCAAGAAAGGAGCGTATCTGAATCTAGTGGAAAGTGTAGAATAGGAGGAGAAGAGGGCGAATAGGGAGCATTATAAGTTGGCTTAGAAAAAGGCAACGCTAGCAGTTACTACGGCCAAGATTGCAACTTTTAGTCGTTTGTACGAGGAACTCGAGAGTCGAGGTGGGGATAAGAGATTGTTCAGGTTAGCCAAGGCACGAGAAAGGAAGGTGAGAGACTTGGACCAAGTAAAGTGCATCCAAGACGAAGAATGTAGAATTTATCCGTTGGAAATAGCAGACCTACTTCCATAGTTTCTTGAACGAGGAGGGGGACATGAGCATTGTACTGGGTGATTTGGAACTCTCCGGGAGTCATTGTGACTTTTGGTATTGTAGGCAGATTAGAGTTGATGAAGTTGATGGGGCTATGCGTAAGATGAACAGGGGCAAGGCGACCGGGCCGGATGAAATTCCGGTGGAGTTTTGGAAGAGTGTAGGCAAGGCAGGCTTGGAGTGTCTCACTATATTATTTAATGTCATTTTTAGAACGAAGAAGATGCCCGAAGAGTGGAGGCGGAGCACGATGGTTCCTATATACAAGAACAAGGGTGATATCCAAAATTGCAATAACTATCGAGGTATCAAGCTGCTTAGCCTCTGGGAGAGTGGTAGAGCTAAGGCTGAGGAAGAGTGTATCTATTTTCGAGAACCAGATTGGGTTTATGCCGGGGATTTCGACTACAAAAGTCATCCATCTTGTTAGGAGATTGATAGAGCAGTATAGAGAAAGAAAGAAGGACTTGCATATTGTGTTCGTCGACTTAGAAAATGCGTACGATAAAGTTCCAATGGAGGTTTAGTGGAGATGTTTGGAGGCTAGAAGTGTACTTGTTGTCTACGTTAGGTTGATTAAGGACATGTATGATGGAGTAAATACCCGAGTAAGGACGGTAGGTAGGGACTCGAACCATTTTCTGGTTATGATAGGGTTGCATCAGAGGTCGGCACTCAGTCCTTTTTTGTTTGCTCTGGTGATGGACGTACTGATGCGCCACATCCAAGGGGAGGTGCCATAGATGATATTGTATTGATTGACGAGACGTGAGATGATGTGAACGCGCTAGAGATATGGAGGCAGACCCTGGAACCTAAAGGTTTCAAGTTCAGCAGGACTAAGACAGAATACTTGGAGTGTAAGTTTAGTGGCGAGACTCAAGGGGGGAAGGGGGGTGAGGCTGGACTCGCAGGTCGTCCCTAAGAGAGGGAATTTTATGTACCTTGGATCTATTATTCAGGGGGATGGGGAGATTGATAAAGATGTCACACATCGTATTGGGGCGGGATGGATGAAATGGAGACTCGCTTTCGGTGTTCTATGTGACAAGAATGTGCCACCGAAACTTAAGGGTAAGTTCTACAGAGTGGTGGTCAGACCAACGATGTTGTATAGAGTTGAGTGTTGGCTAGTTAAGATCGCTCATATCCAGAAGATAAAGGTAGTAGAGATGAGGATGTTGAGATGGATGGGCGGGTACACCAGGTTAGATAGGATCAGAAATGAGGATATTGGCGATAAGGTAGGTGTGGCCCCCATTGAGGACAAGATGCGGGAAGTGCGGCTTAGGTGGTTTGGTCATGTGAGGAGGAGGAGCACAGACGCCCCAGTAAGGAAGTGTGAGAGGTTGACATTAGAGGGCCTACGGAGAGGTAGAGGCTAAAGAAGAGGTGGGGAGATGTGATTAGGCAAGACATGGCGCAGCTTCAGCTGACCAAGGACATGACCCTTGATGGGAAGGTATACAGGTCGAGGATTAGGGTAGTAGAGTAGGTAGTCTAGAGTGTTCATAACAGTAGTATTGGCAGGCAGTCTCGCTTTCTGTTGGTAGTAGGTTTTTATGACTAACCGTTGTTTTCTTTTATTGTTGA